TAACTAGGGTGTAGGTGAAACGCATTTATAGAGGCCAAGTACTTGATGATGTATAAAATGAATAGTAGTACTTTATATCAAAATTATACCAAGTACATAGTTTAATGTTCCTTGATACACGACGGTTACAACAAATTTTAATCCAAATAACGACAAAATTATAAGCTTTTGTCCGAAGAAAACGTACGAGAATCTCATTAGTTTATTATTAATCTGAATTTGGAGTGTTGCGTCCACGAGCGTGGGGTAATTAATGCCTTCCTAATATAAATACTGTTGTTTACACGTGATCGGGTAGTCCCCTAGCCCATCATTTTCTGAATCCGGAAATTAAATAAATTGATGTAAGTGTATATATGGTTGAGACTTGAGATGGAGAATATAGATGTTAAGACCATGATTATCCATGTTCATGAGATTTTCATGGTTTTAATAAATAAAAAATTATTAAAATTAGAGTAAAATGAAGGAAGAGAGTGTTTTTTGTTGAAATAGTGGAGTGTATTGAATTATAAAATTAATAAAATTTGAGTAAAAAGATGAGATAGTGGATAAAATTGGAGAGAGAATCTCATGAGGATGAGACTTTGGAGAGTTTTATAGAGTAAGTTTGTTTTAGTTGGGGTGTGTTTAAATATAAAATTAATAAAAGTTGAGAAAAAGGATGAAAGAGAAGGTATAAAGTTGAATAAAAAGAAGAGAGAATGTGTTTTTAATAATTTTTTATTGGTTGAGACCATAGAAATCTCATGGATAATCATGGTCTAAGAACGAGAGTTAGTACTATTAGTTGAGCTACAAAGAAATTTAGTTTACTTGAAACTATTTTTTTCCCCTTCATACTTATGTAATGAAAAAGCAATCAAAACGAAAAAAGGTAAGAGAATTTCGATATACTGATTGGCGAAATTTTACCTAATCTTCCAAGCTTTTTTTTGTTTTAATTATGAAAGTCGAAAAATCTAAACTCGATTGTGATATCAACTTGTGTATACTATAAAGTAAGCTCATAGATGGTTGACAAAAATAGGCATATAAAAATCGAAGTAAGGTCACAAACGTATTATAATTTGGTTATATGA